AAAAAAAAAAAAAAAAAGAATGTAAAAAGACCATGGAAAATAATCTTCCTGACCTGTAAAAGACTACTCATTAAAATTCTTATCACTCTTTTCATCTTATCCTTTAATTCTTACCATCGTTGCTGGGCTCTTCACCAGGGGATGCTGAGTCCATACCCTCGAGGACTCCCTTTGTGATCTCAACTACCTGAAGCCTCCTGACCCTGACGAGGTCTGTATCTTTCAATCCTTCCTCCAATTGTTTGACCACCTCTTTTCCAGGCTGGGAAGTCAGAACAGTGATCTGGAAATAAATCCAAGAATCAACGTGTGTTCTTTCCATGATGTACAGAGAGAAGAACATAACAGGTTAGATCTGGAGATCAACACAGCAGAAGTCTGTGGTAGTGGCTATTGTCTTTGGAACAAAGAAGAGGACGTAATTGTAACTTACAAATCAGATTTCATTTGACAGATTCTGGTGGGAGAGGTCTGGTGGGACAGATCATCCCAGGACCCTTCCAAACAGGCAGAGCCTACCCCAGAAAGTGACTGGTAGAAGCCATCCCTGTATTTTAGTTTTTTAAGATTGCCTGAAGCACTGGGCAGTATCTCTCTTGCTCAGAATGCTTTGATTTTACAGGAAATAGAATCCTTAAATTCCACTCACTACATGTGAATGTAATATCAGAGAGCCTATGTGCTCCTTTATCACAGTGGTGCTTCCACGTAGATTTCTCTCCTTGCTCAACCTGTATCCAGTTGAGCTGTTTCTTTTGCTCTCTTAACTCTAAAGTGTACTCACTCTTGATCAATATATCTGACCTGAAGGAATATTGATGTGTTTGAGTATAATTTGCATATTTTATTCCACCTGAATGAATACAATGTATGTTTTTCTTAACAGTTTTGTCTTGAATTTACAACTCTAGAAGCCAAGTATTAAATATATGCAATTCTTTTTTGTACTTAGACATTTTTGATTGATGAGGGATGCAGATGAAAGCACAATTATTTTTTAAATTCATCTGTTTGATGCCTTGAGGTTATCAGAGACTGAAAGTGTTTTAATTCACTTTCACTCACACACTCAATGGAGTTTCCAGTCATAACTTATTATATTTTTAAGATTGTCTTAGTTTGGCACCAGAATTTTAGAAATTTTTACATTTGCACATTTGCTAATCCCAAGAAAATTTACTTAATTTGATGATAAGATTTGATTGAGAACAATGTAAATTTTTAAAAGTACCCAGAAAACATAAATATAGACACCAATCTAGGCAGTTTAATGATTGCTTTACAAGTTCCAACAATCTAGAGGAAGATGACATATTCAGATTTTATTTTGATTTCAGTTTTTCTTTATAATTCGCTTCAGTCCACATTTTTAGAACTCCTCTCTACGCCTAGCTGTGTACTAAGAATTGCACAGGTTATAGGAAAAAGGGAACACGTCTCCTGCCTGCAGGAAGCTGCAAATCTAGCCTTGAAAATTATATTCAATGTGTATGAAACAGAGAACAATATAAGGATGATAAATAATGAAGCATCTAGATGGACTGAAATGGGAAGATTGCTTAGAATCTTAAAGGCCAGCATCTCTTACCTCCAGGGAAGTGCAGGTGAGAGCTGCGCCTGTAGACACATGTCTGTTGTACTGTTTGAACTGCTGGAGTCCATCCTCTACCGCCAGCTGCAGAGAAGTGCCTTGTGGTCTGAAACAACCTTCTCTCTGCAACATGCGGAGTTCTGAGATGCAGGCCCGCAGCCTAGCAAAGTTCCCTTTCACTTGCTGCAGAGAAAAATGAATCAAAGATGTAAATCGTTAGTGACCCAGGCTTCAGAGTAATTGGCAGTCTAACTTCGTTATCAATTACTTCTCAGGAGTCCCTTCTCTTCCTGAAAATCTGTTTATTTGACCAACATCTACTGAATGCCTACTATGTTCTAGGCACTACACTAAAATCTTCCCTACACCAGAGGAAGGATAATTTGCAGCCAAAGGGTTTTGATTATGTGGAGTTACCAGAAACAGAAAAGGAAGTGTTTTAACTTATTCATTCTCCCAAAGGAGGGTGCAGTTGTGACTGCTTAGTTACTTTGGGATGGTCTGCAATTTGGAGGCCTAGCAGGGTCACTCTTAAGCATTATCTTCATTACTCAGTCAGTCTAGGCACTGGGAGCTTCTCTATTCAAGAATGATATTTTTCCCAGAAATGAGGATTTTCATGTGGCTGATCCAAATCAATAAGGTCCTATCTAATCTGCTCTTGAGGATCACTTCAGTTAAGAAGAGACGCTTGGCTTAGTCTGCAGTCAGCTCAAAGAGCCAACACGTAAACCTCTTGGTTCTCCTCACCCTCCTTTACAAAAACTCACTCTTGGAAGTAATCTAATATAATGTGACTCTAGGTCAATGATACTTCTTCTAAAGATATACGCATTTTGAATAAATGTGGAATGCAAACTTATGACACTATTTGAAGGAATTCTAAGTGTCAATAGGAGGTGGGGGGTGGGGAGGAATTATATTTTGGAATGAGGAAACTTTCCTGACCAAAGAGCAGAACTGAGAAATATTTGCAAAATGCACATAAAATTCATGAGCATAAGCTACAATACTGCCAGAGTACAAAGACTTCTAAGTCCATCCTGCCCCACTCAGTTCCACAGCTGCCTACTTTGCTCACATGCTCCTCTCCCTGAGTCTCTGGGAAGAACACAAGAAACAAGACATAATTCTTACATAAAGAGAACTTGTAATCTAGATAGGAAGATAAGAACCTACTCAAGAAAGACTTGAGAACAAATGAGACTAGGTGTAGACTAGCAGCCTTCAAGCATTTCTTTTCATGTATCCCCAAAGAATGTGAGTAACAGGATACTCCTTTCTACATTTTTAAGTTGACATCTAGATTTTAAAATTGTAATTGTAAGTAGTTGCTAAGGATGTAACTTCCAGCATATTTTAAATATCAGTATTGAAAAACAAAACCATAACATCACTCTCCAAAACATAATCCAATAGAATCTAAATACCTAGTGATTTGATACTCACCATTATTCTATTTAAAAAGTACATGAGCAAGCTCTTGTTTCTTTTTAACAGATGCAAATTTATATTATTCCTTTTTCTCCTTGAACTCATATTTCCATTTCACTTTTCCCACAGAGTTTTATCAAATGTAACAGAATTTTTTGATTGTCAACCTTTTATTGATCATCCTATCATACTTCTTTACATCAAAAATATTTACATATTATAACATTATTTTATTTCCTATGACCATAGGCTTGAAGGGATAATCTAGATGGCGTTATTATTAGAATTATTGTTAATATACAATTGATCAAAACAACATATATATTACTGATTTTGATAAATAATTATTGGCATTATGCATAAACTTTAATTGGAAATACATCTCTTAATGGCACGGACATGCTTGGTTCTTTTTTTTAAAATTAGTTCAGGTATGTGTGAATAAATGAATTACTGCTTGAATGATACAACAGTCAGTATCAATTCTATTCCTATTTTCTACTGTTATAATGCTGAGAAACCTTGCCCTCATAAATATGATGAGATGTCAATCAAATTGTCAAATTCCTTCTGAGTTATATGCCAAAAGTCATATAGAGATCTACCAGTGAAAACTATTTTAATGATCTATCAGCTGCTACTCAATTTGGTCTTGCTTCAATTTTGTTAAAATTGGAAACTGCATGGTTACAAAAGATTTTTAACCTAGACATAAGTCATTTACTTTCTTACACTGATACCAACATTTTGAATTATTCCTTTGTTTGGTGCCCCTGGAAGTTTTAAAATCACATGGCAATTCATCACAGTGAGAGTCATAATGGGTGAAAGATATGTATTTGTCACTTCTTCCCTTTTCTTTTGGATCTTCTATGTGAAGTGGAAGAAGGGTAATTGTGAAGGTGATGGTGGGAATGGAGAAGCAGCCTGAAACTCTCATCAAAGGCATAATTAGAGAAGTTTTAGAGAAGAATTCTAATGGAAATTGAGGATCTGTATATTAATTCTTTAAAATTATCTATTCCTGTGCACTCTGAGAATCTTCTTGTAGCCCTAGTGGTATGTGCACCCCAATTTGAAGGGGCTGTCATAGACTACAGATGCTTTAGAAATTTAGCAAAAGAAAGGTAAGTGTGTGTAAGGAGGTGAGATTGGGCTGAGAATTGAAAGGCTAAGATTTGTGAAAAGCATACGGTATTTTATGTGTGTATGTGTGTGTGTGGGGTGGGTAGAAAGGCAGAAAGTTCAATACAAGCAATGGTATGGAGGTTGAGAGTGAATACCAGGTGCCAGAGAGAATGGGGAAGTGTGCCTGACAAGAGTAGAGGGTGCTTGTTAAGGAGTAGTGGGCATTTTAGTTAAAGAAGTACTAAGTCTTAGCTTAGGCTTTAGATACAAACAGATTTGAGTTCCAAACCTGGCTCTCCCTCTTATTGGCTGTGAGTCCATAAGCCTAAATTTCTTCAACTAGAAATTGGGCACAATGGAAATACTTATCTTAAAGAGTAAGTATTAAATGAATTAATTCATGGCACACAGCATGCACTCAGTGTTAACTGTGGTTATTATTTTTATAACTCTCAAACCCTAAGCACTTAGGACATTGCTGATTAAAAGAAGGGGTTTATATTGACATAATGGCTGTGTTCTACAACTGACAAAATGAGTGAAAATAAATTGTATCTATGTAAATGACATAGATCCATTCACTCATCCCTTTTTTACAAACATTTATTGTTAGGTGCTTATGATATAATAGGTACCCCAAAAAAGACATAATTCCTGCTCTCTACTAACTGTGCAAACAAGTGAGATAAGTAGCCTCAGAAAACAAAGAGACGAGAGCCGCAATAGAACGACATTTTCCAAAGTATGTTGACAAGTTACTGTCTGTCTATCTCACTAGAATATAAGCTCTATTAAAGGAGAAACCTGATTTGTGTTTTCATTGCCATGTCTGCAGGGCCTAGAACAGTACCTAGAACACAGTTGGTATAAAACAAATTATTTTTTAATAAATGGATGCATACATAATAAATTTCAGGGGGATGAAAAATGTAAGTCAGAATATGAAAACAGATAAACAGGAATTCTCTGTACTATCTTTGCAACTTTTTAATAAACCTAAGTTATTCAAAAATAAAAAGTTTATTGAAAAACAAACCAGAAAAATAGTAGGAAAAAAAGGAAGATAGATCATTTTGTGGTAGAGATGGCCTTTGTAAACATGACAACAAAGGTAGAAACCATGAAAGGAAAAATGGAGAGATTTCATCACATAAAAATTAAAATTTTCTGTAAAGGAAAAGAGAATATCAATAAAGTTAAGGACAAAAAAATGAATTGGGGAAATATTTGCAACATATATGATTAGCATGATATTAAAATCTTAATATGTAAAAAGCACCTACAAATATCTGAAACACAGTCTTCTGCCACCTAGCAATATACCCACCAGATAAAACACAAATATATTTTAAACGCATAGTTGAATTCATGAGAAATTATAGGAAATTCTCAGGTACCAAAGTAGGGGAAAATAGGAAACAGGAATCTACCCTGTTAAATAGGTGTAAAAGCCTTGGCCTTACTTGCTGATCTTGGGAACTTAGGGCCTTGTATTTCAAGGGAGCAGGAGATAAGGCCTTAGACCCACATAAGGAGAAGAGTTGGAACTGCCACCCCGGCCCAAAGTTAAGACCATTTAAAAGGTTATTCTCTCAGTGAAAAGGTGGGCTAGAAAAAATCGACCCACTGATAAAAGGAGGTGACAATAAAACTTCTTGACTAATGTGAGCTCTGAGTGAAAATGAAAACAAAATTACTGCTGAGAACTAGAAACCACATGCCTCCCCTCATGTGGGTTTGGGATTTGGCTTTACCTGCAGAGTCTAGGAAATCCTGTTTAAAACATAACTTAAAGTGGTCCTAGGTTGATAGTACCTCAGGGCACCTGGCTCAAGCAAACACAAATCCTTTCTAGAAGTATACACCCTAAACTCAGGCCTCACAGAATTCTCACGCATTAAGATCAGCTAAACATAACTCATAATCCAAAATTACAAAATCAGTGAGAAAATACACATCATAAGTGAGAGTCAGGCCGGCCCTGTGGCTTGGTGGTTAAGTGCGCGCGCTGCGATGCTGGTGGCCCGGGTTCGGATCCCGGGTGCGCACCGAGGCACCACTTCTCCGTTCATCCTGAGGCCGAGTCCCACATACAGCAACTAGAAGGATGTGCAGCTACGACATACAACTATCCACTGGGGCTTTGGGGGGAAAAATAAAATAAATAAAATCTTTAAAAAAAAAAAAATAAGTGAGAGTCAGCAGAAACAACAAACAGAATTAGAACACCAACCATTTCAGATATTAGAATTATCAAGTATATGTAAGTACCTTTAAGATGTTTAAAGAAATAAAAAACGGAATCAAAACCACGAATGTAGAATGAAAAACTATCAAAAAAGGACCAAGTAGATTAAAACAATTACCAAATAGAATTTCTAGAAATTAAATTATAATAATTGAAATTAAAAACTCAATGAATGGGTTAGTTGACAGGTTAAATACCACTGAAGAGAGAATTATTGAATTAAAAGATAAAGCTGAAAGGGGCTGGCCTGGTGGCGCAAGTGGTTGTGGGTGTGCACGCTCCACTGTAGCGGCCCAGGGTTCGCCAGTTTGCATCCTGGGTGTGCACCGATGCACCTCTTGTTAGGCCATGCTGTGGTGGCGTCCCAT